ATCTTTTTTTTTTTTTAAAGGGGGGGCATCCAGACATACAATCATGATGTGTATTGTGTTTTTAATTTCTTTAAAATTTTTTTTCTTTAATCCAATACAACACTTCCACCACTACCACCTTTATTTAATTATTGTACACACCTTCAATATCTCTCACTTTTTATCCATCATAAAAAACATCATCATCACCACCATAATCACTTCATTCGCCAATTTAAAAAAAAAATTACACCACCCACCATCTACCCCACAAAGTTTAAGTTTTTTTTTTTCTCTCTTTTTTTTTTCCACCACACATTCTCAAAATAAATTAAATCATTCATAAGTTTTTTTTTGAATGGATTTAAATATGTGTTAGTGTGGTCTGTTTTCTTTGTTTGTGGGTGTGGGTTTGCACATATATATAAATTTTTATATGCAATTTATTATGAAAAATCATAATGCAAATAATTTTTATTTATTTCTTTTTTTTTTTTTTTCTTTTTTTTTTTTTTTCCACCAAGCCTTCAATTAATTATTTTTTCTTCTTAATTATATTGGTGTGTGTTTATATTTATTATAACTAAGAAAGTTAAAACTTCACCCACCCTGTGCATACTATTACCACACACTTAATCATTATTTTATTTATTTTTTTTATTTTTTTTTTTTAAAATTAATTCACAAACAAAAACACACCCCAACACTCACAATTACTCACTTAATATCCCACATACATTCATAAATAATTGAATTTATGTACATAAGGATATTATTTTTTGTATATATATGGTCTGGTGATACAGATACATAGATTTTGTTATTATTAAATATTAATATTTGTTCAAGTGTGTGGTTTATGTATTTTTTAATATGTGTGTTAGTGTTCAAGCGTAAAATTTTATGTTATTGTGTTTGATTATTTTGCCAATAACATCATTTTCTTTTTAATTTAATGTCTAAAAATATATTGTATTTAAAAAAATAATTAAAATAATAATAATAATAATAAATAAGAGAAAAAATATTTACCTAAATTCATTCACATTTATTGTGTTTCAAATTAATTATTCAACTTCCTCAATATTAATTACACACATCCTATTACCCACTCCCACTGTTTATTAACACTTTGTCACACTCAAATATATAAATGTTATAACACTCACATAATTTTATATTTAAAAATACTACTAGTAGTGTAACTATTGTATTTTATTGATTTCATTTAATTATATTTTATTTTATTTTAAATAATTTATTTTTAAAATTATTTATATTTTTAAATTATATTTATTTATTTTTTTTTTTTAAAAAAAAAAATTTTAACCATTAATTATTTAATAAAAATCTCTTCATTATTGCTATCTTTAATTAAATTAATAATTCATTCAGTCAAAAATTATTACATTTTAATTGTTAGTAATCTAAAAAAAAAAAAAAAAACATAAAAACATAAAAAAAGTCAGCGGGGTCAACCAATTGGTTGTTTCATATAAAACTTTTTTTTTATTTTTTTTGTTTTCTATTCTTATATCATAAAATACACCTCATCCCCCTTTAACACTCACTTTATAAATATATATTTTAATTGTATAACACACACTTACCAGTTTGTTAGATATTATTTTCCAATCATCACCGTCATTATAATCATCAATTTTATATTTTATTTTAAAATTTTATTTTAATATTTTTTTATTTTAAAAAAAAAAAAAGTATAAATTTTAAAAAAAAAACAAGTTATTTAATTAATTTATTATTTGTTTTTATATATTATAAAATTATAATATTATTTCATCTATTTTAAGTTAGTTAAAGTAAAAGTTTTTTAATAGATAAATAATTGTAAATAATAATAATAATAATAATAATAATAATAATAATAATAATAATAATAATAATAATAATATATCATATAGATCCGATCATTTCCAGTTACAATTAATAATAAATTAATAATATTCATAAAAAAAAAAATTTTATTTTTTTAAAAAAAAATTTTAATTTTATAGATTAAAATTTTATCTGTACATATTTAAAATTTCAATTTGTGTAATTGTATTTACTTTTTTAAAATAATAATAAAGTTGGTTACTTTAAATATTATTTTGAAGTGGTAGTAGTTAACCAAATATATTAATAATAATTTAATTTTGTTCACTTTTCCAAATATGTAAAATATTATTATTCATATTTATTTTTTTGTAAATAGATTATTACTTAGTGGTAGTTGTGGTAGTTACTTGTTTATTAATTGTTTAGAAAAAAAATAGAGTGTCACATATGGTTTTTTTTAATTATTTTAAATTTCTTTTTTATATTTTTTTATATTTTTTTTTTGACAATATTAATAATTAAAATTTAAATACTAACCATTAGTTTCAAATTTTTTATTATTTTTCTTTGCTTCTTTCATACCATTTTTTATCTATATAGAAATTCTTTAAATTTTTTTTACTTTTTTTAAAAAAAAATTATCCAATCTTTACAACAAACTCATAACCCACATTCCTATATTTAAAAGAAATCATGGAGTTAAATACAGAGCAACCATACTTTTATACTAATTTCCAAACATTCACAAATTATCAATCACAACAACAAACACAACCACAACCACAATCACAATCACAACCACAACAACAACAACAACAACAATATTACCAACCACAACAAAACCAATTTGATATTCAATACCAATCACCATATACTAATACATATTGCACACCAATTGGATCACCATGTTTAGGTTCATCACCATCACCAATTCCATCACCATTATTTCATATCCCAAATAATAATGGTAATAATATTAATAACAATAATGGCGCAATAGTAAATATTCCATCACCAACTATAATAAGTTGTGATCCATTAAGTTTAAATTCAAATCCAAAGAAATCACCAATTCTTTCATCTGCACCATCATCAGCTGCATCAACACCATATTTTCATTCTTCTGCCCACAATACTCCCCAACCATGCTCAAATAATAACCCTAATAGTAATAATATGGTTCATTTAATTACACCACAAAACCTTACATTTAGTAATGGTGCTCCACAAATTGTTCCATATATCCCAACAAATAATTTCCCTGTATATACTTTTAATAACTACCAACAATTTTCAATTGAAAACCCATCTATTTATTCAGTGCCAGATAAACAAGTAAACTTAGAGTCACCACGTCAAGCCTTATATAGCGACCCAATCGAATATAATACTAATACTAACAATAGTAGTAATAATACAAATAATAATAATTGCAATAATATAAATATAAATAGTAGCAATATTAATATAAATAATAACTATATAAATTATAATATAAACAATTCAGAGAATAACAACATTAATAATTTAAATACAAGTGGTGGTAATATTTATACTATTTGTCCAATAATTAAAGATAATAACTATCAACCAACTCCTTTTTATCTTTATGACCAAACTCAAATTTTATCATCATCAACTACTTCAACAAATTCAGTTATTGATGAAAATGTTGAAAAGAAGGTAAAATTAGAAGAGAGTTCAATAATATCAATGGAAGTTAAAATTAATTGCGCACAATGTAATAGATCTGTTGATACAAATGAATTAAATTGTTGCAATCATTGTGGTTCAAGTTTTCATCATAATTGTGTTTCAATTCAAGGTACAAACCACTGGGTTTGTCATAGTTGTAATCAATATCATTCATCATATAGCACTATTAATACTCAACAATGGATTCAACAATTACAACAACCAAATGATTTGTCAACCCAACAACAACCAATCCAACAAGATCAAGCTTCTTCACCAGTCCAACCAACTCAACCAATCCAACAACAAGTTTCTTCACCATTAATAAAGAATGAATCAGATAGTGAGTCAGATAGTGATGATACCGAAGAAGATGAAGAAGATGAGCAATCAAATCAATCGAACAGTGAATCAACTTCAATTACATCTAAAAAGGTAAAAAAAACTTCATCAGCATCTGCCCTATCAAATGAAACCAAAGCTAAAGGCCATTGGACCAAAGAAGAAGTAAGTATAAATATTACTTTAATAAAAATTAAAATAATATATTAATATTTAACCAAAATTATATAGGATGAACGTCTCAGACAACTTGTTGATCTCTATGGTACTAAAAGATGGAAGTATATCGCTTCACTTTTATGCCTCCGTAACGGTAGACAATGCAGAGAAAGATGGTCAAATCAATTAGATCCAACCATTAAGAGAGATGCATGGACTTTGGAAGAAGATAAAATTATACTTGAAGCTCATGCCAAGTTTGGTAACAAATGGGCCGAAATTTCTAAACTTGTCCCAGGTAGAACCAATTGTGCCATAAAGAACCATTGGAACTCAACAATGAAAAGAAAATTGAGTAAAAAGCAATATGACTTTTCATCTTTAAATACCTCCCCATCTCTCAGCGAAAACTCTACTCCATCATCCTCATCACCAATAACTGAAAAATTTGTTATTAATGACCCTCAAATATTAAATATCTCATCTTCATCTCTATCATCCCCATCCTCTATTTTCCCATTAAATAATGTAACTATCCATCCTACTTATTCTAATAATAATAACAATAATGATCATTGTTTTTTGTATAATACTAACTGTAATAATAATATAAATGTAGTAAACCAAAATATAGGTAATTATCAAAAGGGAAGTGACAATCATCCAAACCCAATATCATCATCATCATCATCATCATCATCACCATCACCACACTCATTAGTTACACCTTTAAATTTTGTAAATATCAATAACAACAATAATAATAATCAATCATTACCATCTCCATCTATATCAACACCAAAATCATCAAGAAACTACAAGCTTTCATCAGGACCAACCAATAATTGCTTGATTTGCGAAAAAGTTTCATTTATTCAACCAAAAATTTCCGACCAAAAACCATCAAAACAACACACTTTAACCAAAGAGCATTGCAATTATTTTAATATAATATTTCCATCTGATACACCCATGGTAAACATTTGTCATGCGCATTATTCCTCATTCAACAGACAAAATTAAATGAAGAAAGAACTGTGGTCTCTTTATCCTCTCGACTTTCTGGATATTAACGTGTATATAAATAATATGGTTCTTTTAAAAGATTTTTGTTTGGAAAAATTTAATAACCATCCCCCAATAAATTTTGTTTATCACCAATTCATATATAAAAAACAAAATCATATAAATAATAATTTTTAGAATATAAACCAAATAATAATAATTTTGTAAAAAAAAAAGTTTAAAAAAACAAAAAAAAGAAAAAAAAAAAGATTATCAATTGTGCTTTTATAAAAAAAAGCCATATATATAGCATTGTAAATAAAAATTAAATTAATAAACTAAATAATATTTAAAAATGTAAAATAAAATTTAAATTTAATAAAAAAAATAGTTTTACGTTCTTTTTTTTTTTTTTTTTTTTAAATTCACTAAATTTATTATCATTTAATGAAAGGAAGTTTATTTGTTTGAATTGGGTTTTATAAAAAAAAACATTAAACCTTAGAACAATCCTTTTAAATATTGCTAGGGCGTTAACTAAAAATGATGATTTGTACAAGGGTGGTTTTTCATGGGCGGATTAGTTGTATCTTAGAAGGCATGGTTAGTGCTATCATTTAGATAGTGATATACATTTTAATGTACTTTTAACTAACTGTATAAAACCGTAGTTTTACTCCTCCCACCTAATATAGTTAACTATATATATATATATATTTCATACAGGAGCAGATTGTTACGTTAAAGGTAATTATAGAGCGACACCCTTTCTAACACTAAGATGTTATAAAAACTAAAGTGTTATAAAAAAACTATAGTTTAAAAAAAGGTTGTTATCCAAATACAATTCAGTATTTAAAGATTTAATTTATCCTATAAATAAATTAAAAGAAAGAAAAAAATTAATATTTTATTTATACAGTTTTTAAATTTTACTACTTACTCTACAATGGGCCTTTTAGAGAGTCAATTGGCATATATAATATGATGGCGACTGTTCTAAAGTTTTGATATTAAAATTTTTTATTTTGATGTTAAATAACTAATAATAATAATTTGTTTTTATTGAATAGATTAAATTTTTTTCAAATTTATACTTTTTTTTTTTTCTCTCATCAAAAGAAAAAAAATACAAAAATATAAATTTAATTAAATAAAAATCAATCTTGGGGGAAAATCTTTATTTCTTAAGAAATAGAATTTTTGTTTTTCATAAAGATATACCATAGTTTTAATGGAAATTTCAATTTGATTTCGAAATAAAAGTGGGTCGAATTAATTTAATAAAAATAAAAACAAATCAAATTGTAAATTGCAAAGATAATGAAATGAATAAAAACACCCACAGAAAATATTTTTTTATTTTTTTTTTAATTAAATTCATATTTTTGTATTTTTTTATAAACAAGATATTTTTTTTAAAATTTTTTTTTATTTTTTTTATTTTTTTGTTTATATTTTAAAAAATAGAATGGAACACAACAATTTAAAAAGAAAAAGAGAGGAATTTGAACAAAGTAATAATGAAATTAATTTTAACCTATTAGCTTTCAAAGAGATTCTAGTTTATTTATCATATGATTGTTCTTTTAATAGATTACTAGAATTAAGTTTAATTTCTAAACAATCATTTACCACAATCAAATATTTAATAACTCACCAACAAAATTTAATCAAATTTTATCCAGAAATTAAAGTTTTAAATAAATATATCAATAATGACAACAATAGTAACATTAATAATAATAAACTAATAGATTTTAAAGAAATGGAAGAATTAAAATTGAAAACAAAAAAAGGGAGTTATAATAACAAAGAATTTAATAAACTAAAATCGAATTTAATTGAAAAGTGTGGTAAAAATCTAAAGAAAGTTCAAATTATTGACTATATTAACTACGATCCATACTACGAAAACCCAACTGAGGATGGCTTTTATCAATTTAACAAGCTTAATTTAGATTGGAACAGAGATGAAGGCCCAAATTCATATGAAAGCGAATTCGATGAAGATGATGACGATGCCGAAATCGATAGTTTTGAATTCTCATTCGAATTTTTATCAAGATATCCAAACATTAAAAAGTTATCAATGACTACAATGACCTCGGATATGGATTTACATATTTACAAACTCGCTGGTATTTTGAAAAACTCAAGCAAAACTTTAGAAACAATTAATTTTCAATTCCATAACACTGCTCCATCGTTCGTTATCCAAGCTTTAGAATCAAGATCTCCTGTAATAAAATCTCTTTCAGTTAGACTCGGTACCTTCTTATACAAGCTCTATGGGGAAACCACCAAAGAAAACAATAAAATAAAAGACACTAGCAAAATGGTTTCACAATTGTTTAAGAAGGCAAATATTTCAGCAAACACAACTCTTATGAAACTAAAACTTCGTAAAAATGTTGATACACACAAGTCACCAAACAATAAAGACCCTTCCGAATTTTTATCAAATTTAATTGGTAATACTAAACTAAAAAAACTTGGTCTAGAACTATTCGAACTAAATGGTGCTGACGATTACAAATTACTATCACCACTTATTCAAATACCAAACATCTCATCTCTATATTGCAACCCAGAGTCTATCGAATCATTTTTACAACATTGCAACGAAAATGAAAATATCAAAACCTTAACTATTTTTAAGGATTTCAACAGCAAATTTAAAATGGACACTCAAAAAGAAAAAACTCTTTTAAGCTGCTTTTCAAATTTCTTCAATCAAAATAGATCCTTACATAATTTAGTTGTAGTTCACAACGAATTATTTTCAAATGACCAACTATTACTTGATGTATTAAATAGCTCAAAAAATAATAATAATTTAATTATTAAATTTAAAAAAATTAATAAAAACTTAATAATGTAATAAATAAAAAATCATTCAAAAGAAAAATCTTTATTAAGAAGAATTAATTGATCGAAAAACATACGATTTGTAAAATTTTTCAATGGGTTTTTTTATTTGTAAAGGTTTAAACAGTTTGGTATACACCTTGGTAATTATTATTATAATTGTTGTTATTTTTAAAATAAGCTATTGGTTGGGAATAGACCAAATATCTAAAACCATAAAAAAGATTTTGATTATAAATATTTTTGGGAAGTGATGCAGTTTTGGAAACATCATATTTAATTACCAAAGCTCTGAGTTCTTTCTTTATAAATGAGCCTTCAAATTTTAAACCAACATAGTTATTGTTTAGAACTTCTAAATACTGTAAAGTTTCTCTGTGGTACTATAATTAAAATTGTTAATAAAATATATAAAATATAATATTGAAGAAAAATTTTTTAAATCTTTCCTTACTTTTCTGTAAACAACTGCTACAACAATTATTTGAGTGATTACCAAAACAATAATAATTGGAATGAAAAGTGGAACAATGAAGGAGTGGCTCGATCTGAGAAAAATAATCAAAATTATTAAAAAAACATATACTAAAACTCCAAATCCATTAAAGTATGGGGAAAATGGATGATTTTTATAACGGTTTAATTGGGTAATAATATCGCTATAGTCCTGTGCTGTTATATATGAACCCAACTCACTTGGAAGAGTTTTACAAAAGAATTTTGTATTAATTTCATTTTGAATTATTATTTGGTTATAATTTGTGTAATTATCCTGTTGTCCCATTTTTAAAAAATACTATTACTAACACGAAACTAAAGTTTATAATTAATTAATTACAATTTAAATAAAAAAAAATTACAATTTATAGGATTTTTTTTAGCAATTTTTTTTAAAAATTAAATTTTAAAAATTTAGGGTAAAAAAATTAGTCGGTAATCAAAAATTTAATTTTTTTTCTTGAATATTTATTTTTTTTGTTTATTAAATTTTTATTTACCAGGTTTAATCTATTATTATTTAATTTATTCTTTAAATTAGTGATTGAATTTATTACCAAAATTATTTTTATTTATTAAAACCAGTGATTTTTTTTTTTTTTTTTTTTTTTTTTTTTTAAACAAATTTAACCTTGTATTCTAAAATCCAATTATTAACCTGAATTAAATGCTCGATTACTACTTGGTTTTCGTGGGTTTGGTATAATTGTTTGTTTTTATTTTCGATAATCTCGTTAATTGGTTCACACTTGATAAACATTAAAATTGGTGAATTTGAATCCAGGAGAATAATTTGTAAAATATTACAAATACCTATAAAATAGTTTGTATCTTGAACCGAAAGGGGGTATCTATCTTTTTGATGGTTAAGAATATCCCTTGGTAGCTGGCTGATCATTGAACGACGTAAAATTCCCTTTTCGATATCACCAACAGATTTAATATTGTCTGGAATATTCCAACAATACTCTACCAAATTAAAGTCGCAATAAGGAACTCTAACTTCAAGTGATTGTGACATACTAACCCTATCTTCTCTCTAAACATTTAATTATTATAAAAATATTAATATTAACCAAATATATAATAGAAAAATATGTAATAGTTAATAATATTACCTCCAACATATAAATTAGAAAATACTTGATGAATAACCATGATTGAATCCTTTGCTTTTGTTGTGCCTCGTCTTCACCCTCCAACATTGGAATTCTTTCAATAGCCTTTTTATAAATATTTTCGCCATATTTAATATAGTCTACACTATTTAATACTTTGCTATTTAAATACTTGTTAAAATGGGCGTAGCACTGACCGATCCATGGTAATCTTTCCATTTTCAATGCCTCTTCTTTTTTGAACCAATCGTAACCAGAGAAAATTTCATCACTTCCTTCATCAGAAATTAAAACTACACCATGTTCTTTAACTTTTTTGAGCATTAATCTTAAAGGTGTTTCCCATTTTGAAAAGCTTGGTAAATCTCTAGCTCTCATTGGTGATAGCAAATTGTCTAAAAGTTGGTCTACACTACATTGAGTAGATGTATGTTCACTTTGGACATTATCAACGACTTTTTCCATCCATGGTTTCTTTGGACCTGCTATTTCCTCCTTGTATTCTTTTTCATCACCTTCAAATTCGCATGAAAATGTTTTTAGAACACTTTTTTGATTAATTGGTGATTGCTCTGGTAGTGAATCTGATTTTGCTAGAGAAGTCGCTAACGAAACTAAAGCACTTGAGGCCAAACCACCCGAAAGTAAAAAGGTAATTGGGACATCTGATACCAATTGTCTTGAAAGAGCTGCTTCAATAAGGTGTCTAAGCTTTTTTTCGGTTGCTTTTAAATCATCGGTATGTGGAGCACACTTTAAATTCCAATACTCTTTTTCACCACTTGTTGTAAAAGAACCTCCAGATTTATTAAAGGTAATTGTTTTTCCGGCACCCAATTCATTAATATCTTTGAATACACAACCAGTTTCCGGTGTACGAAAAGCACCCAAATAAAAGAGTTGTGCAACACCATCCTTATCTACCAATGGTTGTACCAACTTGCTGTTGGATAGCAAGACCTTAATTTCTGAACCGAACAAAATTGAGTCCCCTCTAATGCAATAGAATAAAGGTTTAATTCCAAGATGGTCTCTGGCAAAAAATAACCTTTCCTTTTCTTGATCAAAGATGGCAACTGCAAACATACCATTTAATCTCTTTACACATTCTTCACCCCACTCTACATAGGACATTAAAATAACTTCGGTATCTGAATGGCTTTTAAAAGTATGACCAAGTTGCTCCAACTCTTTTCTTAAATCTTGAAAATTATATAACTCTCCATTGAAGCACAAAACAATTGATTTATCACCTTTTTTGTATTCCATTGGTTGTTTACCTCCAGCTGCATCAATTACACACAATCTACGATGACCAAATAAAGCATCCGAACATGTAAAAAATCCACCTTCCTCTGGACCACGATGAAAGACTGCTTGATTCATTTTTTGAATTGTATCAATTTCTTTTAAAAGATCCAAATTTGACCAATTAACCCATCCACTAATACCACACATTTTTTTTTATATATCTATTGTTTATAAATAGAATAAAGATATTAGCAAAAATTATAGTTTTTATAATTTGAAATATAAATTTATATTTTATTATATATGTATAATATACACAAAATAAATAAAACAATGAGATATATTTTTTATTTTTTTTATACCCAACTGTTTAACAAAATTAATATAATTACCCCCCAATTTACAAATAAAAAAAAATATTTTATTTATCTATTTTTATTTTCACACACTGTGTGTGTAGTTCAATAAACATTTTTATATACATGATTAATAACAATATTGTTTTCTTTGATTCATTAAAAATAATATAAATAAAATAAAAAATAAATAAAAAATGAAAATGAAATGGGCAAAATAAAAAATTAAAAATTAAAAAAAAATAAAAATAAAAAAAAATAAAAAAATGTATAATAGTTTAATTAAGAATTATTTTCTTTATTAATATAATACACCTCGAAATTATAAAATATGGGACTGTCCACCGGATTTTTATGAATTCTTGTCACGAACCATTTTCTATTATATTCATGCCCAACTATAATATCTGGTTGGTTAATGTAATGAGAGAAAGATCTCTCCTTATCTTTCTCTACTCTTAAGGCTTGTTTTATTGAAGCCGAGTCAACTTTATCCTTGATTCGGAATACAATTTTACAATTCTCCTTATTGTTACTACAACCGACCAATTCTTTGTGGGGATGCTTTGGGACTAATAGAACAAACATGTTAGTGACCTGAATATCCACTAAATTGCTCATGACACAGAGAATTTTATTAAAATTATTTTTTGATGTATCATAAACAACTTCATTCGCTCCTTCCAGAACTGTTGAGCCACTCGAGATAGTATTAATTGTTTCATCCATATCATCAAACCTACCTTCTTTAAGAGGAGCTTTAGGAGTATCAACACCTGTTTCATTTTTAACACCATAATCGTTGAGTATTGAATTATATGAAATATTTGGTAGATTATCAACATCAACTATTTCTTTTTTTTCTATAGAAAAAGTAGTTGGGGTTGGAGTTGGAGTAGATAGTTTTTTGATAGAATCTACTAGGACATATTTTTTACTATCAAAAACAATATTATTTGGAGAACCTATTATTTCTGTTGTTTTAATTTTAAATTTAATAATCCATTAATTCAGGTACTATAACCACTATTAATAGCTAATAAAAATACATACCATGAGCATATCTTTTTCTTGGTGGGGAACCTAATGATGATTTTGAATAAGTTGATAACTCTTTATCTTTGACTGGTTTTTCAGGAGTTATTATCTCCTGAGAAAGTTGATTAATGTTAAAGGTTCTAATATACTATTAATTATAATTTTTAAAATGTTAATAAGTGTGTTGTAATAAAAATTAAATACATTAATTTTTAATATCTTACAGATCCTTGTAGGTTTAATGGAGTTGGTGTGTCGTCCTTTTTAACCATCCTACCATCTTTATCAACATTAGCATGATTTCTTAAGCTCGTAAGATTACTCTTAACTGAGATTAAACCACCATCATGTTTTGGAAATTTTTCTATAAAAGCTTGACATATTTTTGTAACTGGAATAACCGATTTTTGACCGTTTTTATCAATATGGTCATTGAATAAATCAATTAAATAATTTTCTTTTTCGCAATCTAACATTTTTTTTTAAAATTATTAAAGATTGAAATATTATATTATATTAATGATGTATATGATGAAACTGAATATATAATTATAATTATTAATGAATTAAAGTGAAATGAAAAAAAAATATAAAATTAAATTTATATTGACTTTATTTTTTCATTAAATTTTTTTTTTTTACTAAAATTTGAAGTCTATCTCATTAGAAAGAATAAGATATTGAAATGTATAAAATATTTTTGAACCCCCAATTGGGGTAACTTTAAAAAATAAATTAATATTAATTTTATGAAGAAAAATTAAAGAAAAAAAAATTAAAAAATATATTATTAACCCCACAACTTTATTCCCCTGAAAGCTCTTGAAAATTTATAATAAACAATAAACAAATAAACATTTTATATTTTTATGGTTTGGACTATATATATATATTTGATGAAAAGAAACTTGATGAAATAAAAGCTAGAAGAATTAGAAAGTGGGTGGTTTCAAAAATTATTAAAAATCCGGTGGAAAGTTCCATGTTTTATAATTTTGAGGTGTATTATATTTAAATTAATATCAAAAAACTAATTTATTTATTTAATAATTTAAAATTAAAAATCAAAATATTATACTTTTTTTTTTTTAATTTTTTAAAATTATTTTTTTTTATTTTTTTTTGCACAAAATTAAAATAAAAATTCTTTTTTTTTGCACAAAATTAAAATTTTTTTTAATTTAACATTTTTATTATTCACAAATAACAAAAAATGCAAATTTATTCATATAATGAATAAACAATCACTTCAGCTAAATGATATTATTGAAAATTTAGAAAAATGGATTGAAGAAAAATGGTAAGTGTGCTAATAATTAATATTATTTATATCCAAATATTATATTAATTAAGTATAATGACAATCCAGTGACATAAATGATAACGAAACCAATGTAATAGTCTATCAAAGTTTTAAGGAAGAATTAATAAAACTCTATAAACAAAAAAAAGAAAGTGAAAATAAAATATTATCAATAAAGAAACTAAAACAAGAATTAAATTCCCAAATCCAAATTGAAAAACAGTTAATGGAGGAATACAGTAATTACAGAAAGTTAAATTATGATATAGAAAACGAAATAAATAATATAAAATCTGAATATTTATCAATGATTAATGATAACAGCATCAATACCCCCACATCATCACTGCCATTCACAACATCAACAACAACAACAACAACAACAACGACGACAACAACCACAACAAAAAAATCAAATAATGATGATAATAATAACTGCAATAACAATAACAATAGTAGTTTAAACAATTTAAATAAAAGTCAAAGTTTATTAGATAATTTAATAGGAATGAGTAATGGCAGCAATTACAATAATGATAATAATATTGAATATTTAGATAATTTAAAAGAAAATTACAATATAACTTTTAAAAAATTAAAAAAATACGATTAAATAAAAAACAAATAAATTTAAAATTATATACAATACACGTGTATATTATTTTTTTTTTTTTTATATTACATTTAAAAAAGAGGTTACAATTTTATTTTATAAATATATGGAATTTTTTTTTTTTTTTTAATACAATGTGGAATTTTTTCTTGTAATACATTTTTTTAACCACTTTTTAATTAATTAAATATGAGTGTTTTTTTTGATGTTGTTTTTTGTTTATTTTGATTCTAATTCTTTGATTCTGGCATCTCTTTTAACGATTTCAGATTCTAAGTAAGCAACACGAGTTTTAAGTTTTTCATATTCTTCACGAAGTTCTTTTTCGTTCTTTGGACCTTCTTGAACTTTAACGACTGGTTTGAATTCAGTGGTTGGTTTTTTGGCGACGAAACCGTTGGCTAATGAGATAGTCTTTGGTTCGGCATTTTGACCTGAAGCCCATTGTTCAGCAGTGAGACTTGGTTCACCTGCGTAGGTATCTGGGAAAATATCATCTTGGAAGATATCTGATTTTCTTGGTACTTTGAATGCAATTGGTTCGACAGAGTTGGTGGTAACTTTAAGAGCACGAGCAATTTCACATTCATTGATTTGAAGAGCACGTTTTGGAACGAAACAGAGACCTCTTTGTGGGGTGGCAGTTTTGAATTCACTGAGGAAATGGAGATATGGGGATTCATCAACGACTTCATAGTATCTAATGTTACCATCACCTTTACCGGCCATGTAGAGAATACTGTTATCTGGGTCGTAGAATGGCATTAAAAGACCTGAAGCTGAATCGATATTTAAATGGGTGATTGGTTCAGCGAAATTACGTGGATCCCACATGTTAAGTTCTCTTTCTGAGGTTTTTGAGAAACCGACAGTGACAACTTTGTCTTTAACAAAGATAGCTCTGCTGTTTTTAACACCTTGATGGGCAACAACTTCAAGTGAAATTGAGTTTGATCTTGGATCAAAGACACGAGCTTTCTTATCTTTACAGGTGGTGACGAGTTGGCTACCGTTACCGTTCCATTCGACTGAAAGGATGATATCAGAGTGACCTTCAATGGTATTTAAACAGCTACCTTGTTCGACATCCCAGGTTTTAACGAGGAAATCACCAGATGAGGTAACTAAAACATTATCAGCAACTGGATTGAATGAACAAGTACCAACTTTTCTCTTGTGACCGGTGAGGGTTTGGAGTGGAGTTGAGATGGATTCAGTAAGACCACCTTCTGGAATACCCCAAATGCAAGTTGAACAATCTTCTGAAACTGAGGCAACTAAGTTTTCGTTGAATGAATGGAAGGCAATATCTAAAACGGCGTTTTTGTGACCATTGAATAATGGAACAGAGGTTTGTGAGATTTTACCTTGAGCTTCATATGGAACAACAGCGAATGAACCACCACCACCAGCATCCCAAATAACACCAAAGTATTTGGTATTGGCAGCAATATAGTTACTATCCCAAGCTGATTTAGTAACTTTTAAATTTTGATAACATTCTTCCTTTTTGGCTTGAGTACCAAAAACGTGACGATATTTAGATGATCTAACAACACGTGACATCCTATTATTAATAAATAATGAAAAAAAAAAAAAAAAGTTAATAAAAAAATTATTAATTTAGAAAAAAGAAAAAAGAAAAAATAAAAACTTTTTTTATTTTGATCAAATATGTTGAAGTTATAAAATTTTAATTTAATTATGAAAAATATAAATATAAATTTATATTTTCATTTTTCTTTTTTAAATATCTTGAAACTTGAACATGTTATTAAAATATAAAAAAATAAAAATATAAAAAATAATTCTATTTCATCTATACCTACTTATTTAATGAAAAAAAATAAATAACAAAATAATTTGTTAAAAAAAAATCAAATTTATATCATCCAAAAAAAAATTTAAAAAAAAAAAAAAAATAAAAAAAAAAAATTATTAATTTTAAACTTTTTTTTTTTTTATGTGAATCATACAGTTTTTAAAATACCCAATTTTTTGCAGGGGGGGGGGCTTGACCATTTTTTTTTTAAAACAAATTTTTTTATTATTGTTTTTTTTTTTTTTGGATAATCTATTTGTTTGATAAATTTAGATTTTTTTTTTTTTTTTTTTTTTTATTATTTATTTTTTTTTAAATTATTTTTTTTATATTGATATAATAAATTATCAGTTTGGTGTAAATTTTTTTAAAAAAATTATGGAAATGATGTGTTCTAGTTTTATTTTTTTATTTTAAAATTATTTATTTTATTTTTTTTTTTTTATTTTTGAGTTTCAGACGATGAAACTGAGATCGAATTTTCTCCAGATTGCCCATTTTCCATATCACTTTGAATTTTACCTTCTTTTTCCATTTTTCTTTTTTTCTGTTTTTTTCATTGCGATGGTTTTACAAAAAAATAATTTTTTTAAAAACACAACAAAAAAAATAAAATAAAATAAAAATGATCAAATTAAAATTAGTATTTACAATAAATAAATATATAATAATGATTAGCATAGTTTTTATAATTACCTCTTCTTGAATCATATTGTATTCATCTAAATGATCTTGGTATTTGTGTTCACCAAAACCCAAAATCTCAGCAAAGATTCCACCAACATATTGTGCTCCTGTTAAAACTTTATTTGATACATATAATACATTTCTTAAAACCACTTCAGTAACTTCATCATTACCATAGTTTTCTTGTTCTTTTTGTTGTTGTTGTTGTTGTTGTTGTTGTTGTTGCTGTTGTTCATTCTTCTTTTCTTTATCAGTTTCCTTTAGAAAATAAAATAAAAATAATTAATATATTGTGTAACTCAAATTAAAATGATTTAATATTATTTATAGATTATTGCTATCAACATGTTTTTATTTTCTTTTAAGGAATTAAATCAAATACTTACAACTTTTAATTGTTCGATATTGTCATTGCTTTTACGGATTTCTTCACTTTTTAAATGTTGAATCTGTTGTTCTTCGATTGGTTGTTGTGGTATTATTGGCTGTGGTGTAGTTGATGGCGGTGTATCCATATCAATTTCTGGTACCATTAGAATGCTGGAGGGTTCATTTATTATTTCATTAGTATTACTATTATTATTGTTGGTATTGGGTTCATTTATTGTTTCATTAATATTATCATTATTAATAGTATTGGTTATTGTGTTGTTGGTTTCCATTTTATTAATGTTCTATGTGTGTGTGTTTATATACAGGTTTTTTTTTTGTTTTGTTTAATAGGGTTAAAAATATTAAAAATAAAAAGAAAAAATTTAATAATAAAAAAATAAATAAAATAAATAAATAATTTAAATATTTATTTTTTTTATTTTTTTTTATTTTTTTTTTTATTTTTTTTTTTATTTTTTTTTTAATTTTTTTTTAAAATTTTTTTTTTTTTCAAATTTTTTTTCGAATTCAAATTTTTTTTCATCATCATATATATCAATTACATATAAATACAATGTCAACCCCAAATTGGACTGCTTTCGGTTGTGAAGTTTTAAACTACTTAAAAAGTAGATATACCTCAACTATCATTAAAGCTGATTTCAACACATTTTTAGCCAAAGCTAAAGCTCCAAAAGAAATTACTTTAGGTGATGCCAAAAGAACCGCTGTTACTGTTGGTATGATGACTGGTTTCTTCCTTGCTGGTGAAGCTTTTGGTAAAAATACAATTGTTGGTTACAATCCAGGTTATGATGTCGATGCCAAAACCCTTATCTCAAAAAGAGATTAAATCAATATAAAAATATCAAATATATATAAATCAATCAACTAAAAACATTAAAAATTTTAGTAAAAAAAAAAAAAAGAAAAAGAAAATGTAAAAGAAGAAAAGAAAAGAAAGGAAAAGAAAATAGAAAAAGGAAAGAAATTGTACAATCAAATTCATATTTATTAATGATCAATTCTTTTTTTTTTTTTTTTAATAAATAATAAAAAAAAAAATTATAAAACAAAAAATACCCCCACCACATTTTTTTGTGTTATTATTTTTACATATTTTTGGTTTTAGTTTTTACAAGTTTTTTTTTTTTTGTTTAGTTTTTATAGTTATAAAATAATTATATTATTATTTTATTTTTATTTTTTATTTTATTTTAATTTATTATACTTTTATTAATGGAAAAAATATTTACTATTTTTAACTTGTGTTAAATCCAAATTACCTTTTTCAGGGATTTTTGGGAAATCGATAGTTGGGTGTTTAGTTTTGAACCATTCTAAAAGTCTTTGTAAAAGTGGTTGTTGATGGAGCTCTATAAATTGATCTCTAATTAAAACGTTCATTTTATCTACATCACAAGCATGGGTCCAAAAACTGTCATGTACAGATGAATAGGTAATACCGGCATCATCACAGGCTAAGGCGGTTAAAAACATATGAGTTGAATCGAGTGAATGAATGAAATTGGGTGGAAAAGCAGATTTTTGTTTTAATGTATTTACTTGAAGTTTATCGGTATCGTTAATAAGTAAAAATTCACCTTCTAAAATTTTAACAGAGTTTTTACTGGTCTTTCTGTATGGTTGGACTACTGGGAGACCTAATGGTGTGATCCAATTGACTGGATGACCTGATTTTGCAATTAAAACGGCACACTCTGATAACCAGGCCATAATAGAACGTGCACCAAAGAACATATTATTTAAAGCTCTAAATGTATGTTTTGTAATATAGGAGGATGCGCTAAACATAAACTCATCATCGATTTCGAGTGGATTTGTTTCTTCGTCTAATTTTTCTTTTAATGAGGAGTGAATTTGTTCACGTGCACCAATATAGGTTACACCATATACTGAAGTCATAACAGTTTGTTTAACTAACTTTCTATCGATTCTTCCACGGAAGAAAATTGCAAATTTATTACCTTCTTCAGCTTCTTTTTCGACAATTTCAGCAACTAAACCAGCAACACCAGTGTAGACATCCTGTGGTTTGTCGGATGGAATTAAATTAACTTTGATTGCACCTAATTCATCGCCACCTAAAGCAGCATAATGTTGTAAACCATTGCATGTACCATCTTGATGAATTGGGAGATTTGAACAAAACTCTTCTGGGTTTGGGCTACGTAAAGCTTCGGTTAATTCTATACATGCTGCCAATGCTTGCCATGGGTAATCAGCGTTTAACCACCATCTTTTACCCTTTAATGGATTATCAGCAGAGTCCATAATATTTTCAATATTTTCTGTTGTAAATTTAATTCTATCGGCATGTGAAACTTTATCGACACCATAAAGATTAGAAATTTGAATCTTTAACCAATCGAGACCTCTCTTTCCTAATGGTTTGGATTTTTCAAACTTTAAAAGTGAACGACAAAGATCTGAACCTAAATGATTGAGATGTGGTGGAATTGGGTAGGATCTTCCTCTAAAATCTAAATTATGTGGGAAATATATTGTATGATCTAAAAACTTCTCAGCTACTTCTAATTTATATTTGCAATCACTACGTAATGAATGTAAATCTTTGTTAAGTTTTGAAATCTTCTTTTCTAATAAAAAGTGTTTTTTTCTTGATGAAAGTGAAGTTAATACATCTTCTGGTAATGGTGGATATTCATAATTTATTTTTCTTGGCATATCTGCAATATCACCACCTGCTTCCCATGCTTCATTAATAATATCATATGCTTTTTTATTGATAACCCATGGTGTATTACCTAAAACATTTAATGCTCTATAAATTTGTGATAAATCGCTTTTTAATAATGAGGTAATTTGTGATTTATTTCTAAAAAAAACAAAAAAAAAAACAATATATTAATAAATTATTTATAAATATTTAGTTTTTATACGCATATAATATTTACCCATTTGCTCTTAAAATTGGAACTTTATAATGAAGATATGGACCTTCAAATGGTGAAATCCATGGTAATGGTTTAATAACCATTGGGTATAAACGAGCACCACCAGCTTCTCTAGCAGAATGACCATCGTTAATTAATTTATAAACATTTTCGTGGGCATTGATAACGAATGTTCTAACACTTTTTGAATATCTTGCTTCTGAAATAAATGCTGGTACCAATGGGGAGTTTTCATCATCTAATGATTCTCTAATTTTACAATTTTCCAAGATACCATTTATAAAGAAATTACCAATCTTTTCCATTACTGATGGATTAATTTTTGTGACTAAAAATGGATCTTCATCGTCAAATAATTGATTAAAGAATCTGTGAATTGCTGAGTTTGGAACTAAAGCATTGGCTCTTTTATAATATCCTGGGTCTTTTTTCTTTATATGTAATGATTTGTATTCTGAAATTACTGAGGTACCAATTGAATCTCTTAAAACATCTACTGTACCATCGCCATAGGAAACGACTGATTTATTGATTATATAGTTTAAACCTTTAATGATTGCTTTTTGAACACCAACTTTTTTAACAATGATTACCCATGGTTCCTCTGGATTCTTTTCTTCTAATTTTTTTGAAATAATTTCCTCCAACTCAGTGTTCCACTGCATCATAACCTCACGTACGGACTTCATACCTGAAAGAAACGATTTGCCGTTGGCATTTGATAAAATTTCTCTGTATCTATGAACTTGATTTTCAATAGCTTGATATTCTAATAAAGTTTCAAGTTTTCTAAGTTGTAATTCTTTTTCATATTCGGCGGAATCATTTTCCTCCATCTCTTCTAAAATTGGATCTTCACCCTTTAAAACCTTATCCAATGTTCTTCTAGATTGTCTTAAGGTTTGTAAGTCTTCAACAAAAGATTCTTCTAATTTTCTATATTCTTCTTTGGCCTCGTTTAACATTCTTAAATAATCCTCTTCTGTATAATTGATTCCCTCCTTTTCTAATAAATCGGCTTTTTTTTTACTTATTTGAAAATCTGATGTTGAGCTTGAGTTAAATCTTTTAAAACAATCATTGTTATTATTATTATTACTATTGCATTTTGAAATAGTAGTACCAACTATATTTTTACTATAATTAAATTTTATAATTTGTTTAGTAATGTGATTTAGTTTTAACATTTTATCATTTAAATTGTTTTATTATAATAAATTATTATTATTATATATTTATTATTATTATTATTATTATTATAAATTATTTTTATTTGATTTTATATTTATATAAATTTGATTTTTAAAATAATAATAAAATAAAATAAAAAAATTATAAAAAATAATGTAATGTACACAAATAAAAACTAGAAAATATTATATAAAAGAAATATCTCGTCTCTAAACGAATTATGAAAAATAAAATAAAAATAAATAAAAAAAAAAAAGGTTATGAAAAAACGAACAAAACTCGTTTTTTTTTTTTAAAAAATAATAATTAAAAAAAAAAAAAAAAATTTTAAAAAATTAAATTGCACATTTACTTTTTTTTATTTTATTTTTTTTTTTCCATTAATAGATCTAATTCAATAAAAAAATATATATTTTCACTAAAGAGATCAAAACAATGATACTATATAATTATTGCAGAATTTCTTTCAATTAATTGAAATAGATAAAATTATTATTATTACTCTTATATTAAAAATGGTGAAATTTCTATTTTTAACAAAAACAATATACAATAATAAGATGATTTTTCGCATATTTATATTCCACACAACCAAGAAAAAAAAAAGAAAAAAACATTTTTTTTTATTTTTTTTTTTATTAAAATAATTTAAAAGTGTGTGTTTGTGTTGTGTGTGTGTTTATGTGTTTGTGTGTGTATGTGTCTAAAAAAAGATTATTATTTAAAAAATTTTAAAAAAAAAAAATGATGGGATTAGAAAATTAAACTTAAATAAAATGAACAAAAAAAAACACTTACCGTCAATATATAAATAAGTTATGTGCTATATAACCCAACACACATACACACACATACAATTAACATTGCCCCCCACACAACTATATTGTTGTTGAGATTTGTGCGTGTGTATGTGTGTGAATAAGATTAACAATTAAATTAAAAAAAAAAAAAAATAAAAATAAAAAAAATAAAATAAAAAAAACAAAAATTTTAATACATTATATTAACATATTTTTTTTTTTTTTTAATAATTTTATTTCTTTTCTTTTATTTTTTTATTTTTAATTTTAATTATATATTTTTTTTTTGATTTATTAATTATTTTTTTTCAAATTCTATTATTACTATCATTTATTTATTTAAATTTTAATTTTCCATTATTACTATACACTCACCTTGTATCTTTATTATTTTTTATTATTTTTTTTTATATCTTTTTATATTTATCCATAGACATACACAAATAATCAAATATATAATAAAAATAAAATTTAATCAATCTATAATAATTTATTTATAAAAGTCATTATAATAATTAAATACATATTAAAATTGTTATAATAATTGCTTAATATAATATTATATTTATAATTTAAAAAGTTTATTTATTTTTGTGTTTTTTTGTTTTTTTATTTTTTAATTTAATTTTATAAAATCTCATTTTTTAATCTTCTACATATTTTAATTGATAGTATTTTTGTAATAAATAATAAACTAAAGACATAAAGTAAAGAAAAAAAATAGAGATAACAGTAATTTTTTTTATAATATTAGAAACCAACTTTTCAAACCACCCACACTTTTTCCCCCCAAATATAAAAAAAAATTAATAAATTATATATAAAAAAATAAAATATTAATAACAACACCCCAACACTTGTATATACACACTTTTTTATATATTTAATATGGAAACTATTAGTTTAAATGATAGTAATGGTTCAATTTCAAATATAAATAATCATCATCGCCTACATTCAAATATGGGTGACTGTATAATAGATAGAGAAGATTTAATTGATATGGCAAATATAAAAATGAAAGGAGATATAGATTCATTGGAGTACCGAATAGAGAGGACCAAGAAATCAATAGATATAATAAGAGATTCGTTATTATCATCAAAATCAGTTGAAGAGCAAAGTAAAATTAAAAATCAAATTGTATCATACAACCATATTCTAAATGATTTAGAGTCAAAACTATCATTAATAAAGGGTACAGATATAACAAATAACAATAAGATAGAAAGAAAAGATTCAAAAAAAAAGCTTATAGAAATATCAATAACAACCGATGATCAATCTAATAATAATATTGATAATAATAAAAATGATTGTTCAATATCAAATGATACATACGATAATAAAAATGGTACTCAGGTTTCGAATTTTCAAGTTTTAGATTCAGTTTCTTCTCCATCTCAGTTAATAAGTGGGTCATTTTCTTCTTCGTCATCATCATCCCCTCCACCTCGTACATCTTCAAATGACCATTTATATAGTAATATTGAAGTATATAACATCAATAATAACACCAATAGTAATGGTAATAATAATAATAATAATAATAGTTCCGATAATACAAATAACAATAATAATGATAACAGTAACAGGAACGATGAAGATAAGCAAGATGGCCAATTTAGTATAGTAAATAAGCAGGGTTTAGAGAAATTATTATCATCATCAATATCATCATCAGCCTCATCATCATCTTCATCATTTTCATCATCATCGACAGTTTCTTCAGTATACCAATATTCTTACCCAAAATCGTTTACTCCATATATTCCATCAGATAATAACTTAGAGGAAAGAATTGATGCATTGCAAATTATTAAATTAATTCATTTCGAATATAGTAGACACTCCAAAGATAAAACCAGTATCTTAGATAATTTAATGTATAATATTAATTTAAACCCCCAACCAAGTTTTAAACAAGCATCCAGTCAAAATTTGGATCAAAAATCACTAAATTCAAATTTATCAACACCAGATATAGTTTTCAATAACAATTTATTAAGGAATCAAAAAAAATTACAAAGTTTATCCGGTGACTTAAATAAACCACCAAAGTCCCCAGAGGAAACATATTTATGCAGTCCGCTAGATGAGGAGGAGTTATCAAATTATTATTCCCACAGTTTTGTAGCTCCCAAAGTTTCAAAGTCAACATCAAATCGTCATCACTCAAGCCAAAATTCCCACGAAAAAAATACACCTAAAGTTGTGGTCTTTGAAAAGAGTGAGCCCGGTACTTTTGTTTTTAAAAAAGAAAAGGTCCCAAAGTTAAAAGATTCCAATGTAAACCATCTTTTTAATAGTAGTTATAGCAGTGGTTTAAATTCAATCACAGGATCAACAAAAAACAATAGTAATAGAAATTCATGCATTGGTTTTAATCCATATCCAAATAATTTCAATACAGTTAATGGTAATAATGATGATGTAGACCATTATTATGATTCATTTCACAATACTGAGCTCTTGGACGAAGATGTTTTAGTTTATGATGATTTGGCCGATGATACAATGAACGATGACGACACTGTTTCGGGTTATACCCAAGATTCAAGTACAACTAATTTTAAAATTTCCCCCATCGTTTCTCCAAATAATAACAATAATAACACTGACAATCCAAACCAACTACAACAACCAACAATTACTGTAAATCAACAACCATCAATACCCATATTACAAACAAACCATAGCACTCATGAGTTAGGTGTTCAAAACCTTGGTGCCCGTGGACATAACAGAAAACAGCATTTAAGATCATTATCACATGGTGTAATCAAAACCCCATTTACAGATAATAAGCTTAAAACTCTTCAAATTTTTGTTCCAACCGAGCCTTATACATGTAAATTAGAAATTACAATTGAGGAAAATGTAACAGTAGAAAGATTAATTAGCGAGGTAATAGATCTATGTATAAAAGAAAAAAGAAAAATTCAGTATTATAAAAAATTAAAGTTGCAATCGGAAAATAATAAATCTCCAACCTCCACCTCAAACAATGGTCTATTAAATAGTAACAATAGTAACAATAGTAACAATATAAATAGCAGCAATAATAGTAATGCCACTACCAATAATAATAACAATAATGTTAATAAAAATATAATATCGCCACCTTCATCTTCAATTGTATCATCATCATCAACATCTCCAGTAACCATTTCAAACAATAGCAGTCATAATAGCGGAAGCGCAACCAGCAGTATTAATAGTAGTACAAACAGCGCGTCAAGCAATCAAACACCAACACCATCAATTAAAGAGTTTGAATCTTTAACATTCCCATTTTTAATTTATACAAATCACCGTGATTATATGTTAAGAAAATCAGATGAAAATGGTGATGTAGATTTTTGTACTCCACCAATCATCAGAACAACAGAAATTAAAAAATTAACCAATGATTGTTTTTCATTAGTGATTCATCCTAAAGCAATTAGAGATCTTTCAAATCATCCACAAATATTTAGAGTTTACATTGAACAGTCTCAAAAAACCTCACAAACCTCAAATGGAAAGCCAGCAGAAAAGCCTAATAATGGGGTTAAAAACTCAGTTGCAGTTATATATAAATCAACATCAACTCTCCAATCAATTAAATCATCCATTTGTAAAAAAGAAAAATTGGAGTTAAATTTATGTGTATTTATGACAATGAATAACGAAGTTATACAGAATGAAAAAATAACTCTTATAGAATTAAATCTACCAGGCGTGAAATTAGTTTATGACCAACATAGTAAGTAGTTTATAAAAAATTTATAATTTAAACAGTATTAATTAACCAAATTAATTATTATTTATAGAACCACAGGTGCATAAATCAGTTTCATTTGTTTCAGAGGTTGGAAATGCTCCAAGACCAATCACTAAATTATTAGGGCCTATTTTCTTTTTCACACCAGATAATGTTTGTGAAATAAAAGTAATATAATTATAATATAAAAATAATTTATTGTATTAAATACTAATTTTTTTATTTTAAATTTAGCAATATGTTATTTCAAAAATTAATAAATTTGGAGTTAAAAAAGATAGATATATGGAGATCAATAAAGATAAAATTGTATATTCACCTATAGATGTTATGTCAACTTTACCACCTCCATCAATGGTACCTCAAAATATAAATACCATGAATAACACACTTCAACCACAAAACACATTACTTCAATCATTACAGCCACAGACCACACCACAAAAAAATAATAAGTTCTTTAAATCATTCAGCTCAAAAGAAATCAAAACCCCTTTCCAAATGATTGGAGATATTACCGGTGTTGGAACTGTTATTAACAAACCATCGTCATTTTATCTTAAATGTAATGGTAAAACCCATGAATATTATTCATCTGATTCAGGTAAATATTTAATTTAGTTTTAACATTTTAAAGAATAATCATTTAATTATTAACATCTTTTTTAATTTTTTATTTCAGATGAAATTGTTGCCAAAATTCAATTTATTATTAGATCAAAAAAAGAGAAATTAATTTAAATAATTTTAATTTAAATCAAAAAAAAAAAAAAAAAAAAAAATAATAAATAATAATATTATTTATTTGTTAAATTATATTTTTAAAAAACAATCACTTTCTAAATAAAAATTATATTTAGTTAATTATTTTCAAATAATTAAGATAAAAATACATTTGATTGCATTTTAATTAATTGTGTTTGTTTTTGTGTCAACACATCGAACATTTTAAAATATTTAATTCAATTAATTGTAGGGAATATTTTAATAATAATATGAAATAGATATATGTTTTTTTATATAAATAAAATTTTTCATTTTATATTTTGTGGTTGAGTGGTTGTATTGTTGTTGTGGGTGTGGGTGTGTGATATTTATATCTTTTTTTTTTTTATTTTTTTATTTTTTTAAATTTACATATTGTTTTGTTAATCTCTGCACAAATTTGATCTTTTTTTCGGTTTATATGATATAAATAATTATATAAAATATATCAAAAATAAAAAAATAAAAAAAATATTTTAAAAAAAATTATAAATAATTATTTTTTAATTTTAATATTTATAAAATAACAATTTTGTATATTTGTATATTTTTAATAACAAATAGTATTTTAGATTATTTTTGGGTTTTTTTATGTAATTTTACTTTTGTTGTATAATAATAATTTATTTTTTCTATTTTTTTTTTCTTTCTTTTTTTCCTTTAAATAATTTTTTTTTTTTAACATCATTTTTATATAATATATAAAATGATGAAGATTGTATTATTATTTATTATAAATGTTTTTATTTATAGTATGAAAGCAGAATGCCCAATAGAGCAAGTAAAACATAAAAGTACAGCAACCTATTATACTGATCCTCAACATGGTAATTGTGGATATGGTGAATTGATGGGTAGAACAGGTCCAGGAACAATGATGGTAGCAGCACTTTCAACAAAGTTTTACGATGATTCTAAAAGCTGTGGCCAATGTTTCAATATTTTTTCTCCTTATACAAATAGATCCTTGGTAGTAATGGGGACAGATAAATGTCCAGATAAAGTAAGTTTATATATCTATTTAAAAAAAAAAAAAAAAAACTAATTAAATAAAAATATAGGGGTGGTGTGAAGCAGACTATCATTTTGATTTAACTACCGATGCTTTTGATGTACTAGGTCCAAGACTTGATGGTGTTTTATATAACTTGGAGTTTTATAAAGTACCATGTCAAATAAAAGGAAATGTTAAAGTAATGATGAAAGATGGTTCAAACCCATTTTGGACTTCATTCTTAGTTTTTAACTCTAATATTGGAGTTAAGCAAGTATCCATTAAATTATCTGGAAGTGATCAGTTTAAACCTCTACCAATAACTTCATACAATTATTGGGATTCACCAAGTATGACTCCAGGTGAATTCGAATTACGTATCGAGTCGATTGGTGGTGAATTTATCTACACTAAAATATCATCAGTAGAAAGTAATAAAATTATCGATACCGAAACCCAATTCACTGTTGAAGGCTGCGATAGTGGAGAAATAAATTACGATGATCCTTATGCTCCATTTAGAATACCATCAGATTCATCCAGAATTTTACCACCAACCATGTATATTATTTTTTTAATTTCAGTTTTATTATTTATCATTATCAATTCATTTAAATAAAATAAAGTTGTTATAAAAAAATATATCTAAAAAATCTAATAATTTTTTTTTTTGATAATTATTATAATAAATTGGGTTATATTTTTTGGTAAAGTGTTTCTTACACATTAGCATTCAAAGAAAAAGAAAATAAAAAAATATCTTTATTTTGATTTTTTTTTTTCTGATTTTTTTTATGTGGAGCAATTTTTTTTTTTAAAAACTATTTTTTTTATTTTTAAATAATTATTCAGCAAAAATGAAATTATTTGTATTTTTATTATTTATCTTTAATTTTTATTATATAAATGGTGACGAATGCCCATTTGAACAAGTTAAAAATTCAGCATCTGCTACATATTATGAAGGTATTTATAACATTAACACTAAAAAGAAATTTTATTTATAAAACTAATTAATTTTTTTTAGATTTGAACAATGGTAATTGTGGGTTTGGAAATTTAATGGGACCAACCGGACCAGGAAATTTATTTATTGCAGCATTAAACACATTTTTTTATGATGATGCCAAAAACTGTGGACAATGCTATAACATTTTTTCACCATATACCAATAGATCTGTAGTTGTTATGGCTACTGATCAATGTCCAGGAGGAGAACATTGCAGTGTAACTATTTAATTATTTAATTATATTAAGCTTTAAAAAGTATACTAATAAAAAAATTATCAATAGAATAATAATTATCATTTTGATTTATCTCCACAAGCATTTGATGTACTTGGAGCAAGAAGTATTGGTGTTTTAAAGAATTTAGAGTTTTATAAGGTACCATGTCAAGTCGATGGCAATGTTAAAATTATGATGAAGGATGGATCAAACGACTATTGGACTGCATTCTTAATTTTTAATTCAGATATCGGAATTAAGCAAGTATCAGTTAAAAAAACTGGATCTGACCAATTTGTTAATTTAAAGTTATCTGATTACAACTATTGGATTTCACCAGATATGAAACCAGGTGAATTTGAAGTACGTATTGAATCTCTTGGCGGTGAATTTATCAATACCAAAATATCAGCCATAGAAAGCAATAAAATTGTCGATACCCAAACAAAATTCACTACTGCCGGATGTGTTGATGCCGATAGCTCTGCATTCGCTGAACTCCCAAATAGCTCATCAAAACTATCATCAGCTTTATTCTTTGTATTATCATCTATTATTTTATTTATTTTTTAAATAATGTAAAATACAAATGTATTTTTAAATAAAATTTATTTAACTATTTATTAGAAAAAAAAAGTACATATTTACAATTATTTATGGTTTATCATGATATTCTGTATATAATGGTATAGTTGGAGGTAAACCTTTTTTTGTTCGAATATTCATAGCAATGTTGGTCGAAATATCATCAATACCAACAACCCCACCTATTTGTGACCAATGACTGAATATATGTTGATTAAAGGTTTTATCTGATAGTTGCTTTAATTCATTTTCAAAACCAACAGACTCAATAACTGGCAATTGAATAATAACACTTGATTTTTGACTATTTCGAGATGGATATTCGGTGATAATTGAACCTCTTTTTCGTTTTACTAGATTAAAGACATCTTGGGATATAGCGTGTGGAACATTAATTTGACTGTTATAAATTGGTTCGAGCAGAACTGGTGAAGCCGATAATTGTGAAGCGTAAAGAGCACGACGAGTTGTTGGAATTACAAATGAATAACCTCCTCTTACTATAGGAACTTGATTTTTATAAACATCGCCTAGATTAAAACGAACTCCCCATAACTTATTTCCACAAATAGGACCCTCTTTAATAACCCAATTAAAAGCCTGTATTAATCCATCTTTTATATCTTGAAGATCCATAGGTTGGATTGACCCCATAAATAAATTTGTATTTAAATCCTCTGGTCCAAAAGCCCAAATATTTTTTATGTCTAATTTTTCCCAACCATAATCCTTACACAATTTATCACTAAATTCTTTTTGGCTATATTTTGACGGATCTAAACTACCAACTTGAATATCAACTGCCACATCGATTTGAAGTGGTTGTGCCTTCATGTAAACCCTACTGTGTTTATTTGGTGATTTGGCGCAACAAACTAAAGAAGATTCTTGGCTAACCGATTCTCTATAGGGTATGATAAGATCTGATATATTAATATCAACTGATGGAATGAATATTTCTTTTAAAACCTTGAACAAAACATTTAAATGAAATTGACCCGTACCACACACTAAAATTTCACCGGTTTCTTCAAAAGAAATGTTGGCCACTTGATCAATAACAGCTAGCTTTTTTAAGCCCTCCATGAGAGCAGGAAGATCATTTGGACTATTTGGGCTGATGGATTTACTTAAAATTGGATAGGTTGGGAGTTTTATATAACGAATAATATTGCGAGATTTTCCTAAACCTGATGTGGCTGTAAACGAATTTGATAAACATGAACTTTTTAAACCTGATAAACATACAATATTTCCGGAAGTGCATTCATCTATTTCCATATTTGAATCATTATTGATTATTAGATTGATGCCATATTTATCTGTTGTAAAAACTTCATTTTTTCTATTAATAATTGCAATTTTTTCACTTTTTTTAATAGTTCCTGAAAAAATACGACCTATTGCATTTATTTGACCAAAACTATTTACTGATAATGTTGAAATAAAAATTACCAGTGGACCATCTCTATTGCAAAATGAAATTGATTTTGCATATTCATCGTCCATTGAACCTTCATATAGTCCATTAACTCTATATTTTTGTGCATACAATGGTGATGGTATGTTATTAGCCATCATTGATAAAACTGTTTCTTCTAATGGTAAAAATAGGCAAAGGACTTCTTTTACTAATTCTTTTCCCTTTAATACTTCCAATTGCTGATCTGAAATCTTGATGTTTAAAGATTCATTTATCTGTTTTAGCTTTACCATATCATCATCCATAATTGCTCTTATTATTTGATAAATTGGACGCAGTATAAATTGACAAAAAGATCTTTCTAATTTTGAACCATTTGCTGATGAGATTGGATCTGATGTCCACTTCTTTGTTGTATCATCATAATAATTGTTACCCCAGAGACGTTTCAATAGAGATTGTTTTGGAATGTTATGTTTTTGTGAGTATCTATTTGCAAAACTATCTAATCTAAATGCCCATCCATCCAAAGCAGAACCAAATGCCACAGAACCATTCTTTGGGTCGACACTAAAATCCGTGCTGAAAGCGGAACACTCGATATTAACATTAAATAAATCGACTGATTTATCGAGTGCCAAATAAACTTGCTCTAATTCTATCTGTGGATCAATGAAAAAGTGGTCTAATTTATTGATAAACAGGGTGGGTTTATTATTTTCAGATATTAATGGACGTACAATGGATTCACCCCCAAAACTGAATCCCTCGAAGCCATCGACTACAAACAATGATCCATCGGTAATACGAAGTCCTGCCACTACCTGGGCCTTTAAATCTAAATGACCTGGTGTATCAATTAGATTTATATAATATTCTTTAGATAACTCTGTAAAGAAAATTGAATTGAATTGTAGTTTGGTTGTAATTTCATTTATTTCACTATTTAATTTATCTTCTTCGACCACAGTACCATCGTTAACCACGCCCGCTTTTTTAACTAACCTTTTAAATATTGAAGTTTTTCCATTGTTAATCCTTACAAGTAAAAAAAAATTGTTAATAATTGGAAAATATTATTAATTAATTAATAATTATATTAAAACCTACTGCCCAACTATAGAAATATTTCTTATATTCTCTGAAATAGTAATAACTTTTTTAATTTTTTCGTTTGAAACCATTATTATTAATTAAAAAAATTAAATTAAAAATTTTAAAAAAATTTAAAAAAAAATATATTTTTTAGTTTAAAATTTAAAAAAAAAAAAAAGATATTTTTAAGAAATTTTATCAAATAATAGTATTTGTAAAGAAATTCTTATAAATCTGCTCATTTATATGCATATATGTAAATCTTATTTTAAATTATATTAAAATTCCCAGGAAAAAAATTCCATTCCTGTGAAACCAACCAAAAATAAAATTTAAAAAAAAAAATAAAATTTTAAAAAAAATAAAAAATGATTTTTTTTTTTTTTTTTTTTTTAAATTTCCACAAGTATCTTTAACAACAACTATCTAATAATACAATGAAAATTTTATTTGTAACATTATTATTATTTATTTATTGTAATTTTTGTTTTTGTATTTCACAAAACCATTTTAATAAAAATGGTGATGAAAAATCAATTCATTTCGATGTAAAATCATTGGGAAGTAGCAATGATAATCCAGCTTTATGTGGAACTCCAAATTCTCAACAATTGGAACAATATATCAACGGTTTAGTTGGATCATATGGATATTGTAATGGTACAGAGTGGGCAGTTACAGATTTTAAAACATTTAATATTCAAAGTTCAAACTCACAAAATCCACAACAAACAGCATCAACCATCAAACTTTGGGTTCTCTTATCAGTTTTCAAAGATATTGAAGCCGGTTTATATACTTTAGATAAACAAATTGAATGCTCAACTGGTTTAATTACCGTCGAACAATGTATTGCTCTTATGATTGGTGTCTCTGATAATTGTGCCACTTATTCATTAACTGCTTTAACCAAATTATCAAGTGTTAATGCTGTATGTATTTTATCAAACTATCTGCAAAAATGTTAAAATATTTATTTTTTTTATTTTTTATTAGTTATTTAAAACTTTAGGTATGGATGATTCCCAATTCCACGAATGGTGTTTTACCACATGTTTAGGTTATTCCTCCCCATGTCCAAACAATGATGGAACTGGTGATAATAATGTTTTATCATCACATGACGTAATTCATGGTCTTACCTTATTACACGAAGGTCAAATTTTAAATGAAACCTTTACCGCATTAACTTATAAATTCCTTTTAACTGCTCATGGTTGGCAACCAATGCTTGGCTACTATGTACCAGCACCAGTTGCTCATAAACAAGGTTGGTTACCAGCCAACGAAGGTTTCAATCCATTCACCGAAAATGATGAAGCAACTGTTTTCAGTGAGTGTGGTGATTATGCCGCCAGTGTAATGATTACCAGAGATTGGTCCAATCCACAAGAAGATACCATCGCCCTTCAATTAGGTGCCACTATCGGCAAATATATTTATTGTACCATGGTTCCATTTGGCTATACCAATGACGGAGCTCCATGTTCAATTACTTTATCACAACAAATCCCTTCACCAGCTTGTCAATAAATAATAAAAAAAATTTTAAAAAAAACAATACAATCAATTTTATCTGTGTTATATTTTCAAATTACAAATTTTTTTTTTTTATATTTTATTTTTATATTTTTTATTGTTTTTTATTATATTTTAATATTTTCCTATTTTTAATATTTGATTAAAATTATTCACAAAATAAATAAATAAAATTTAATTAAAAAAAAATAAAAATAAAAAATTTTCGTTTTTAAAAAAAAAAAAAAAAATTTTTAAAAATCTTTTTATTTTCGTTTTTTTTTTTTTTTTTTTTTCATTAGCCAGCAGAATTTTTTTATTTATACAAATAAATTTTTGTTATCGAAATATAAAATGGTCACCAAAACTAATACCAATACCAAAACAACCACCACAAAAGCTGCTACCACTACTACAAAGGTTGCTGCTGCTGCCGCTGCTGCCACCGCTACAAAGGTTGCTGCTGCCGCCGCTACAAAGGTTGCTGCCACTAAAACCGTCGCTGCTAAAGCTACCAATACTACCAGTAAAGTTAATGTTATTAATAAAGAAAAAGCCATCGAAGCAATCAATGCAGTCATTAAATATTCAGAAATCAAAAAGAATGCTCAACCATTAAATATTTTAGATGATGATAATGAAAATCTTTTCGTTTCAATCGAAACTGATAAATACTACCACGATGTTCAATTCAAACCATATCACATGTAAATATTCTTATATTTTTTTAAATTTTATTTTAAAAACACTAACATTTGTTTGTTTATTAAATTAATTAAAAATATATAGTACTGTTCCACATCAAATTTATGATTTATCAAGCAAAAGAAGTTTAATTATTATTCAAGGTAATAAAGAACAAGCTATGGATCTTAAAACTAAAATTACAGAAATGGGTTTCACAGGTTTATTCGATGTTACTTCAATGAAACAATTCAAAAAAGATTACATTACACCAGAATTAAAAATCAAACTTACAAAACAATATGAAGAATTTATTGTCGATTCAAGATTCAAACAAAAAATCCAACACAATTTCGGTAAAGAAATTTATTTATCAAAACAGTAAATATTATCATTATTATTATAGCGTACTTTTTTATTAAATTTTTTAATTAACTTTATTATATTATTTTTACAGATCACCAAAAAAAGTTGAAGTCGATTTAAATAACCCAGTTAAAATTATTGAAACATTAAATAAATTAAATAGATTAGTTTTAATTAGATCATTTAGCAAATTATTATTCACTCTTCCAATTGGTAATTTTGAACTTGGTGTAGAAAAACTCATTGAAAATCTTTCAGTTATTCTCGATGAAATTTATTCCAAATTACCAGAAAAACTCCAATCAATCCAATCATTAGCTATTAAAGCATCAGATATTCGTTTACCATTTTATGTTAATGTCAAAGTACCAGAAGGTCTTATTTTTGACCAAAAGAAACAAGAAGTCAGTTTAACCAAAGAAGCTTTAGAAGAATTAGCTAGAAAACAAATGGAAATGGACAGTGATGATGATTTTGAAGATTTTGAAGATTTTGAAGATGATGAAGAAGAAGAAGAAGAAGAACAAAAACCAATTACCACCAATAAAAAGAGAGCAACTCCAGAACCAGTAAAAAAAACTGAAGAAAAACAATCAACTCCAAATAAAAAAGTTAAAACCACTCCAGTTAAAGTAGCTGAAAAACCAACTCCAGCAGCTAAAGAATCAACTCCAGTTAAACAAACAACCACCAAAGAATCAACTCCAGTTAAACAAGTTAAAGATGCTCCAGCTGTTAAATCAACTCCAGCCAAACAAGTTAAAGAAACTCCAGTTAAACAAGTTAAAGAAACCCCAGTTAAACAAGTTAAAGAAACTCCAGTTAAGCAAGTTAAAGAAACTCCAGTTAAACAAGTTAAAGAAACTCCAGTTGTTAAAGCTACTCCAGTCAAAACAACTCCAGTTAAAAAAACCCCAGCCAAAAAATAAAAGTTTATAATATATAAATATATATAAAAAAAAAAAACAAATAAAAAAAACAAATAAAAAAAAATTTTAAAAAAAAAATACAAATTTGTATAGATTTTAATTATATAATTCTTTATTTACATGTAATATTATAAATATAATATTTTATAATATTTTTATTTTATTTATTTTATTTAAAATTTTGATCATAAACTTTTCTAAGATGAATTGAAATATCGTGAATTGGCATACCAGTTACATTATAGAAATCTCCATCAATTCTCTTTATAAATGAACCTGCAGGTATTTCTTGAATTCCGTATGAGCCGGCTTTATCTAATGGTTTATAATTTTCGACATAATATTCTATTAAATCTGATGATAAATTATCAAATTCTACTTGAGTTAGGGTATAAAAACTTTCTTGACCCTTCTTTTGATTAGATTCATTGTTGAACTCTATATGAACAGCAGTACAAACAAAATGAGATTTTCCACTTAAAAATGCCAACATTTCCTTTGCTTCCTTTAATGACTTTGGCTTTTCAAAGATTTTATTATTATAAACCTATAATAAAAATAAGAGAAGAAATTAATTAGATGCAATGAAAATTGTAAATTTATTTATTAATTTTATTTAATAGTTACAACTATACTATCGGCACCTATAGTAATATTTGGATATTTATTATTCTTTTCAAAAAGTTGTCTATTTGTATGTATAGCTTTTAATTTGGCATTTTCTAAACAATAGTCATATGCTGATGAAAATTTTGATTTATCTAAATTTTCTTCAAATTTAGATTCAACTATTTCGAATTTTAGTCCAAGCTTTGATAAATATTCTATTCTTCTTGGAGAACCTGATGCTAAAACTATTTTAAAACTATTTAATCTTTCCAGAACATCTAATAACATTTTATGATGATGTATGATTATAAAACAAATTAATTTTAAAAAAAACGAAAAAAAAAAAATAAAAAAAAAATAAATTAAAATATTTAAATTAAAAAAAAATAAAAAAATAAAAAAAAAATAAAAATCTATAGATATAGCTTTAAAGTTAAACTAACTATATTTATTTATCAAAAGAAAAAAAGACAAAAATATTATTATTTTTTTTTTATAAAAAATAAAAAAAATTCTATTCTGTAAAATTAAAAATATAAATTTCTTTTAAATAGCCCGCAATATTTTGATTTTTTATAAAGTATTGTGCCAATTGTTTATTTTTAAAATGACAGTTGATAAATTCGTAAATTAAACTATAGTGTACAATGTTGTATATCTTGAAATTTAAAAATATTTGAAATTTATTTAAAACAAGGTCAAAGATTGGAATTGATGGGTGTTGTGTTGCTGGAATTAAAATTTGTTTTAAAATGCATTCTTTATATTCATTTGCTTTATCATCGTCAGAATCCATAATGTTAAATATTTCTTGAATTGATTTTAAATCCCTGTTATCTAAAATGAAAGCCAAATATGGTCTATCATTGCTAAATAACTCCTTTGAGTAATTTGAGAATAATATTTTATAGTTTTTCGACAAAACTAAATATTTTACATACTCTTGGTGTGAGAAAATAAACCGTTTGTTTTGAATTGGTTGTGAATCATATCTTGTATTTGAATCGGTACCTGTTCTATTAGGAAAATAACTACAAACAAAAAGCCTATCCTTATTTCTATGAACGACCCAGTTGAATATTTTGATAATATTGTGGCCACATCCTCTTGAACCAAACAGTTGGAGCGGGAATATACTAAAATTGATATACTTAAAAACCTTTTTGTAATATTTATAATTATCTCGAGAGTACTTAATACTTTCTACAGAGCTACCCAAATTTAGCAATTTTAAAACATGAGGAGTTTCAGCATCGAGATATAAAGATGGCAATTGCAATGCTCTTGCTATAAACTTTATTGATGAGTTTGAAACTAAAGTTTTTTCAACTTTAATCTCTTGATTAAACTTCCATGTCAATGTTTTTCCATCGGCATGTACAAGTTTTTCATAGTGTATTAACAACTCTTCGTTACAAAAGAAAAACCATGTTGCATGTTTGTCTATTAAAAATAATGATTTGAAATTTGAATAAAGGTACTCCAGCATTTTCTTTGAAACAATATATGGGGTGATCAAAAAATTGAAACCAATCCTGTCTATATAGTCATAAATATTTCCTGAATATAACTCTGATGCAAATTCTACCAATCCTAAATTGTCATGATATACCAATAATAAAAAAAAATGGATAAATGAAAAATATGGACCTTTTTTAATTGAGTTAATTTGATCAAATTTTAAAAAACTTTCACCAATGCCAACAACATATTTGACCCTTTCATTTGCACTGGAGCAATATTTGAAAATATGTGATCTATTACCAGAATTGAAATGGGACATTAGGCAATTTAAATTTACATAAAAAAGACTGTTCGTGGCCAAATCAACGCATCCGTGGGATAATGATATTATGAAACGATCGATGGGTTGATCTGTAGTATTTGTGAATCTTTTATCTATATCATGGTCAAAAAATTTATAATATAGTGAATGCTTGGCACTATCTGATTTCTTTTTAAAGATTTCTAATAATGTATTAACATAACTATTCTTTTTTTCTGTTCTATTATATTTTATTATTAAATAATACATTTCCACCAATACTTTTATGCTTTTTAAATTATTAACATTATTAATTATATAACTAGATAAATTTGAATTTAATTGATCCTTTGTAAACTTTAATAATTTAATTTCATCAACTGTAAAATAAACTTTAGTTTCATCTTCTTCTCCAGTTCTTTTGTTATTATTGTTGATAATGGTGCTATTATCACTATTAATATTACTATTATTATCAATACCATTATATATTGTGTTATGAATATTAATTATTAATGAAATTATTTTACAAGCATCTACTAAATATTTTAATTTAAATGTTTCTTTAAATATTGATTCTTCTTCTTTGGGGGAACCTTTAAAAATTTTAGCAGAGACATCATAAAAGAAACGTGAGCTTAAAACATCTTGAGAATATAGGAAATATAATGATTTGAATTTCTTTAAAGGATTTGATTCAGTGCACCGTGCCTCTCCATAATCTTTACTTTCAATTGTAGGACTTTTAATATTTAAATCAAACTTTAAGTATTTGAGCATTTTAAGAGAACCATATAAAGAATGATTGTTTAACATCATTCGAAAAATATCTTTGGTTGGGATAAAATTAAACCTCTCTACTAAACCCTTGACTGCTGCCAAACTATTACTTAATATTGCTTGATTTAACAATGATGAATGGTTTGGTATCTGGTCTGTGTAAATTTGATTATTGAATAACCTTTGATAAAAATTGAAATCGTTCTTAATTAACCTGAATAACTTTTCAAAGTCAATAAAAAGATACTGTGATGATTTTACTTTATCTATAAATATTTCCTTTGCATTTTCATATCTATCTATTACAAAAGATATATCATATAATGATTCGTAACTAGGTGATAAAAATGAATCTAATTTTGAAAATATTTGTTTATTGATTTTTTTATTTCTGAAAACTGTCCAAAATAAATCTTCGTTTGAACCACTACTATTGTTATTTATATTATCTATATTTATATTTGTATTATTATAAGATATATTATATTCATTTGATTCTTTTGGACTATATACTATTTTATTTTTACTACTACTATTTGTATTTGTATTTGTAATTATATTCATATTTATATATTATATATTGTTATAAAAAAATAAAAAAAGCTCCATTGTATTATTATTTTATGAATTAAATTTTTAAATTAAAAGAAAAGAATCTGAATTTTAAACAAAATTAACTATTTGAGGGAATATGAAAACTTGTGTGGTATGAATTAGATAACAGAAACATTATTATAAAAAAATAAAAAGAATGATATAAAAGGGGTGTTTATTGAAAAAAAAAAATTTTAAAAGAAAATGGTGTTTATACGTATATATTCATTTTTTACAAAAACTTTAATTATTTGTGTGATCGATCAGCCCGAAACCCCCAAATTTTTTTTTTATTAAAAATATCCTGGTTTGAGTTTTTTTTTTTATTAATTATAATTTATGATAATTGAGTGATAGCGAATAAAAAAAAAAAAAAAAAAAAAAAAAAAAAAAAGGGGGATTCGGGAATTTTAATTTATTTCTTTTTATTTTTTTATTTTTAAATTATTTTTTTTTTTTTTTTTAGAGAGATATCACATAATTTTGATATTATAAAAAAGAAAAGAATATTAGAACCAAAAAAAAAAAAAGATATTTATCTTTTTTCAATTTTTTTTTTTTTTTAATAATTTTTAAAAAAAAGTTTTTTTTTATTTTTAAAAATTTTTTTTATTTTTTTTTTTTTGAATTTTTTTAAAAATTTTTGCAACACACAAAACACATACACACAATTTAAAAGAATCTAACCAACAAAAATAAAAGAGAGAAAAAAAAAAAAAAATATCTCAATCCATCAAAATAATATTTATTTAGAGTCACTAAATACACATATTTTGTACACTGTATTCTTTTTTAAAGTATAAAAAACTTTACTTTTTATTTTTATAATATTTAAAAAAAAAAAAAAAAATTATAATTTTTTTTTTTTGTTGTATATAAAATCAAACACACACATTCAAAAAAAACCCCAATTGTATCATATAAACACCCAAACACTCAATCAATCTATCAAAAATTTATTTATTTATTTATTTTTTTTTTAAAAACACACATCCAAGTATTATAGTAAATAATTAAAATAATTATAAAAAAACAACACTAAATATATTATAAAAATGTCAGCACCAATCAAACACGAAGGTTATCTCACCAAAGAAGGTGGTGGTTTTAAAAGTTGGAAAAAAAGATGGTTCATTCTTAGAGGTGGAGATTTAAGTTATTATAAAACTAAAGGAGTATGTATCATTCAATTATAATAGACTTAAAAATAATAGTAGTCGAAATTATAATAATAATAATAGTTAATATTAACATTATAATTTTTAAAAAAAAATAGGAAACTGTACCATTAGGTATTATTCATTTAAATACTTCAGGTCATATTAAAAATTCAGATCGTAAAAAGAGGGTTAATGGATTCGAAGTACAAACACCATCAAGAACCTATTTTTTATGTTCAGAAACAGAAGAAGAGCGTACAAAATGGATTGAAATTTTAATTGCAGAAAGAGAATTATTATTAAATGGAAATAAACCAAAGAAATCAGAAAAAGTTGGTGTATCAGATTTTGAATTATTAAACCTTGTTGGTAAAGGTAGTTTTGGTAAGGTTATCCAAGTTAGAAAGAAGGATACAGGCGAAATCTATGCTATGAAAGTTTTATCAAAGAAACATATCGTCGAACACAATGAGGTCGAACATACTTTATCTGAACGTAATATTCTTCAAAAAATCAATCATCCATTCCTTGTAAATCTTAACTATAGTTTCCAAACTGAAGATAAACTTTACTTTATTCTCGATTACGTTAATGGTGGTGAATTATTCTATCATTTACAAAAAGATAAGAAATTCACAGAAGATCGTGTTCGTTATTATGGTGCTGAAATTGTATTAGCACTCGAACATCTCCATTTATCTGGTGTTATTTATAGAGATTTGAAACCAGAGAATCTTTTACTCACCAACGAGGGTCACATTTGTATGACAGATTTTGGTCTTTGCAAAGAAGGTCTTCTTTCACCATCCGATAAAACTGTTACATTCTGTGGTACTCCAGAGTATCTTGCACCAGAAGTTCTTCAAGGAAACGGTTATGGAAAACAGGTCGATTGGTGGAGTTTTGGTTCACTCTTATATGAAATGCTTACAGGTCTTCCACCATTCTACAATCAAGATGTTCAAGAAATGTATCGTAAGATTATGATGGAAAAACTTACTTTCCCACATTTCATCTCTCAAGAAGCTCGTTCTCTTTTAGAACTTTTATTAGAAAGAGATCCAGAAAAACGTTTAGCTGATCCAAATCTTATTAAAAGACATCCATTTTTCCGTCAAATCGATTGGGAATTATTATTCCAAAAGAAAATTCCACCACCATTTATTCCAAATGTTAAGGGTTCAGCTGATACCTCTCAAATTGATCCAGTTTTCACTGATGAAGCTCCATCTTTAACAATGGCTGGTGAATGTGCACTCAATCCGCAACAACAAAAAGATTTTGAAGGTTTTACATATGTTGCTGAACCAGAACATTTAAGATAAATCAAAAAAAAAAAAAAGCAAACAAAATAATCAAATAATTTTAATAATTATTAATAAAATAAAAAAAAAGAAAAAAAAAAAAAGAAAGTATAATAATCATAATAATATCAACATCATAAATTAAATTAATTCTGTTTATTTGTTTAAAAATCTATAAAATCGATTAATTTTTTTTAAATATGGAAACAAAAAAAAAAAGAAAAAAAAAAACCAAATTTGTATTTTTTTATAATAAAATAAATTTATTTTTATAATTTAAAATTTTAAATATAATTATATATAATTTTTTTTTCGAAAATATTGTTTTTTATTTTTTTTAAACATTATCAAAGATGAACAAAGAAAGAGATAATGATTTATTTGGTTCTCAATTAAACCAAATATTAATATTATTACAAAGTAAAAATTAATATTTATAACATATTAAAAAAAAACAATTTATTTTATTAACATTACTATTATTTTTTAGCTGTTCAGTGTCAAATTAAAAGAATTTCTACTTTTCAAGATCAAACATATCAATGGAACACCAAGGTATTTATTTTTTTTTATAATTATTTTTTTATAAAAGTTAAAATAACAATATATTAATATATACTTTTTTTTTTATAGCATCATCAATACCTACAAAATGTTTTAAAATCATTTAATAAAATAAATGCAATTTTTAACACAAAAGAAGGAAATTTTAACGATAGCAACAACAATCAAAGTAATGACAATAAAATTATAAAAAATCAAACTTTTCACCAAAAAATAATTTCAGTTTATGATCCATTGAACCCATTTTCACAAGAATTACAATATCTTGTTATGCAAATAGACAAAGATTTATTTGATGAATTAGAAGGTAAAATTAAAAAATTAAAAACCAAAACACTAAAAACCTAATATTAATGTTCAATTTATTTTTTTAAACCAATATAGAGGAATCAATTATTATTATTTATCCTTTTATTTTAAAATGGTTCAAAGAAGAAAATCCTATCCAAATTGTTGTTGCCTTGGTCTTACTATGGGAAATATCATTAAAGTTTCATTATTTAGGAAAAAAGTTTAAAGATATCAATAAGAAATTATTAGTATGTTTAAATATTATAGAATCAAAAGGTATTATTAACAATTTACATTGTCAAGGTGTTTTCCCATTCTCTGAAGAAGAATATATTAAATTAAAAAGTTTTTTAGAATAAATATTATACAATTAAAAAGTTATTTTTTACTATTATTTTTTATTTTTATTTTTTATTTTTAATCTTTTTTAAATCTTTTCTTTGGATTTTCATTATAAATTTCTGTATTGTATTTATTTGGTGTCGGTAATGGCGATGGATTGGTTTGTGGTGATGCTGCTGCTGTGTTTGTTGAAATTAGGCCGAAAAGATTTGAATATTTTGGGATTAAATTGGAATTTGTGGTTTTTAAAAATATTTTTAAAACTCTTTCATAATCGATTAAATCGCTCCATTTTATTCTAAAATAAATAAATGATTAATTAGTATGATGCTATATAATTATGAATATTTAATTTTATTGTGAATACTTACTTTTCTTCATTATATTTCTTTAAAAATATATTATAATAATAAAGAATTTTTTCGACCAGCCTTCTAATATTTTTTAAACTAATGTTATTATTATTATTATTGTTGTTATTATTATTATTATTATTATTAGTTTCATTATTATTGTTATTTAAATAAATATCCAAAATATTATTTATATAATTCAAAGTTTGGGTTGTATTATTTTTTAACCAAAAAGTGAATAAATTAAAAGTAAAAATGTAAAAATAGCTGTCTAATAAAAGAGTTTCGGTAAAAATGGATTGATCATAAAATTTTGTTTCTTTTAATACAGTTGTTAGATTTTGTAAAACTTCACAATTTAAATAGGCATCCAGTTTACTAATGATATAGGCATATTCTTTGACTATTAAACCACTATGAACTGAATCTTCAGAGATTAACATTTGCCACATATAGTTTTGTTCAAATGATTCCCATTTGAATGATTGATCAAAGAGAGTTTTAATTTCGTTACCAAAAACCCTAAAATCGCCCATTGATATTTTATTACAAATTCTAAAATGCTGTCTTGGTGTTATATTACTGATCGTAAAATAGAGGAATTCGCTATTTCCTACCAAATAATTTGGTAAAAATTTATACAATATTGGCACAAGGAAATTGAATATACCTTCATTCTGGGCTTCTTGGCAATCGATTAAAAGTTGATCAACAAACCTGCTGGGAGAAAATTCACCACCTATTATACTCTGTTTAAATTTGATATATCCAGATAATAAATTCTTGTTGTTTAAATTGTTGTCTTGAACCGATTCTAATAATTTTTCAATTTTATAAGTTGATTCTTCTTCGATGGATATAATATTATTATTGCTATTGTTATTACTATTATTGGTACTATTGTTTGCTTCATTTTCAATCTTTACTGATACAGTTGTATGATTAATTTCATTTCCATTATTTCCATTTGCTATATGATTGCTATTATTATTTTTATTATCTATTTTGTTATTATCTTGTAGTGTATTATCACATTCAATATCTGGATAAATATATGTGCACCCATTATTTGTAATTTGTAAACCACCTTTAGAATTGACTAAGGACCAAATAATTATTTTAAAACCTATTGAAGGTGCTAATTTATAAAGTTCTTTAATTATTGTAAAAAGTTGTTCATTGATTGGATATTGTGATGGTAATGATGGTTGTGGAAGGAAGCATGCTCTAAAAAGATGATGGATAACTTGGAAATTAAAAAAATAGGAGTATGGTGAGTTAATATTTTCAAATTCTGGTTTTAATACTTGAAATAAATAGCTTATAAATGAATTGGTAGTTTCAATTTGTTGTTGGGTTGAAAGTTTTGGTATTTTTTCAATAAAATTATTTAAAATACTTTTGAATTTGCTTGATATATTTATTGGTTGGAACTCTATTTTATTACCTAATATTAATAAATTGTCAGGTATTTCAATTTTAATTTCCTCATCTAATTTAATATTTTCGTCTAAATCCATAATTTCGTTTGGTTGTTGTGATTCTTGTGATGCTATTTGTTCGTCTTGGGTTGGTAGTGCTGTAGTTGGTTGTTGTGAAGGTTGTGAAGGTTGTGAAGGTTGTGAAGGTTGTGAAGGTTGTGAAGGTTGTGAAGGTTGTGAAGGTTGTGAAGGTTGTGAAGGTTGTGAAGGTTGTGAAGGTTGTGAAGGTTGTGAAGGTTGTGAAGGTTGTGAAGGTTGTGAAGGTTGAATTGGTTGGGGTGGTAATTGTGTTAGTGCCGCTGATGCTGCTGTTGCAATAGATTGCAATTGTTGTTGTAATGGTTCTTGTTTTATTTGTAAGGCAGTTGGTTGCTGTATTTGTTGTGATGATATTGACAAACTAGGTGTGTTATTATTTGGTAAGTTAGGTTGGGATGGTTTTGGAGATGTTTGGGTAGTTGGCTG